TATTTATTTATTATGTATACAATATTGTGTCTGTGTATATGTCTGCAGGCCAGAAGAGGGCACCAGACCTCATTACAGATGGTTGTGAGCCACCATGTGGTTGCTGGGAATTGAACTCAGAACCTTTGGAAGAGCAGGCAATGCTCTTAACCTCTGAGCCATCTCTCCAGCCCCCCAATGTGAATCTTTTAAATGATTTCGCAGTAGCAATTCCAGGTTTAACATTCACTCAGGAACACATTACATATTGAAATACTGTGCAGAAACTGGTGTGAAGTATAATTAAATGGAAGACATTCTTGCATGCATTTCCGATGCCTTCAAATAAATAAGTTGGTATATAGCCACAGACCTCCAGAAGCTGTGTCCAGATTGCTAAGCAGGGTTATGTGCTTCATCTTATACAGAGACTTAGCAGTGTAAGCTGGCTCTCATTTATGACCTTACAGTTCTGGAAATAAGCAGGGCCAGCTGATTCCCTGCCAGGCCTGACTTGTAGGCTGCATAATTGTCTGGAAGCCCTTCTGGGTGTCTAAGGCTTCTTGCTGCTTCTTGCTTGCTTGCTGCCCAGCTCTTAAAGGCTCTTCCACCAGGAGGAGGCAGCAGCTGATTCCCTGCCAGGCCTGACTTGTAGGCTGCATAATTGTCTGGAAGCCCTTCTGGGTGTCTAAGGCTTCTTGCTGCTTCTTGCTTGCTTGCTGCCCAGCTCTTAAAGGCTCTTCCACCAGGAGGAGGCAGCAGCTGATTCCCTGCCAGGCCTGACTTGTAGGCTGCATAATTGTCTGGAAGCCCTTCTGGGTGTCTAAGGCTTCTTGCTGCTTCTTGCTTGCTTGCTGCCCAGCTCTTAAAGGCTCTTCCACCAGGAGGAGGCAGCATCCGTTGTCTGTCACAGTGAGTCCTTTTTCAAAGATTTATTTATTTATTATATAAAGTGTTGTATCTGCATGTATGTCTTCAGCCAGAAGAGGGCACCAGATCTCATTACAGATGGTTGTGAGCCACCATGTGGTTGCTGGGACTTGAACTCAGGACCTTTGGAAGAGCACAATGCTCTTAACCTCTAAGCCATTTTCCCCGCCCTGCAGTGAATCCTTTTTGTACTGTCCTGATTTCCGGCTTCACCTCTCAGGGAGTGTTATGCTCACCTGTGTCATTGGGATAATCTCCTTTTTAAAGCCAGCTGCTGAGGAGCTTGGTGCACATCTGGAACGTGCACATCTACGCAGTGTCCCATGCCAGAGTCACAGGCAAGAAGAGGTTCTGCAGTCACAGGGTCACAGGGAAGTATCATAGGATTTTCCCTGTTACTCCTGGAGATTGTCATCCTTCCCATAAGCAAAGCAGGACTGTCTCCAGGGTTCCCAAGGACCCCTTGAGACCCCATGCCCAGAACAGCAATCCACATCACTCGAGTCAGCGTGGCCTGAGTTGTGTGGAGTAGGCACAGCTCCCCTTTATCTGTGCCTCTGTGAAGCAGAGACCTAAGGAGGCCTCAGCAGTTGTGGTTCAGAGGAAATGGGTGGGAACACGCCCCCTCCCCCCAGACACACACCCAATAGGGCTACACAAACTTTTTAGGTAATATGGCTTGCTATTACCTTCCTAGCTGTGTTTTTCTCTGGGAAGGGGTCTGACCAAGTCTCCTTCTGATTGGTGTTTGTAACTGAACAAGTCGATCAGCCTCTTGCAGCCACAACAGGGACTTCTCTTCTCTCCACAGTCCTTTCTGACCTCACAGTTTGAAGGTGCAAGTTAAACAGAGGCGGTGTCCCAGCTTCAGATGCCTCCTGTAGACCAGGAAAGCCACCCACACCTGGGAGACACCCACCTTATCTCCTGTGTCTGAGTGCTCTGGCTTGTGGTCATTCCAGGCCTCACTCAGCAGTTCTGATGGCCATGCCCTTGGCCTTTTACTGTGCCACATGTTCAGCTGCCATTGCAGACTCCTAGGGGGTGGGGCTATCTTCTAAAGGTTCTCTGTTTCCCAGTCCCAGCAGGCAAGGCATGTAAGGTACCATCCTCACCTCACAGTTACAGGGCTTGTGGTAAATCTGTACCAAGTTCCTGTAAGCAAAACATGCAAAGGTTACATATTGCCTTTTCAGGAAAATTAGTGCAACTCTTTGAAAAACTACTTATCATTCCAAGTCATAGAACTGTCTTTTGGCCTTTATAGTCTTAAGATACGAATGCACAATTGCAGGGCACAGTGGTGCATGCCTTCAATCCAGCACTTGGGAGGCAGAGCCAGGCGAATCTCTGATTTGAGGCCAGCCTGGTCTATGTAGTAATTTCCAGGACAGTCAGAGCTATGTAGAGAAATCCTGTTCAAAAATCTAAATTATATATATGTATATATTCATTCATATATATATATGAATGCATAGGAGATACAGCAGAGTGCAGGAAGAGTGTGTGACTGCTGATTGCATTTCTAGGGAATAATATTTAGTGTTTTTATTTTATTTGGCTTTTTACTGTGGTCTCTTTGGTTTGTGCCTTTAAATGACATTGTAGGAGCTTGGAACAGCAGGGAGAATGGGCTTGTTTGTGGAAGTCTCTGGTGAGCATTGCTGCTGCTTTCTCTTTCAGAAACAAACATATCATGATTGATCTGGGCACTGGCAACAACAACAAGATCAACTGGGCCATGGAAGACAAGCAGGAAATGGTTGACATCATAGAGACTGTGTACCGTGGCGCCCGCAAAGGCCGGGGTCTGGTGGTGTCCCCCAAGGACTACTCTACAAAGTACAGATACTGAGCACTGCCCTCACAGGCTGTGCAGAGGACCTGGGGACCCCTCCATGTAGAAATACTCAGCTCTTCAAAGCCTTGGGAAGGGCCTGCAGCAGAACATGGCTGGAGGCTGGAGGATCCTTGAGATGAGGGTTGTGGGGCCTTAACTAGCTGAAGCAAATAAACGTGCAGTAGGGAACAGTCGATCGCTGCTGTGTGATTTACTGACTGTAAATGTCTTTACTTTTTTTTGGGGGGGGGGATTCAAGACAGGGTTTCTCTGTAACTTTGGTGCCTGTCCTGGAACTAACTCTTGTAGACCAGGCTGGCCTCGAACTCACAGAGATCCACCTACTTGCCTCCCGAGTGCTGGGATTAAAGACATGTGCCACCACCACCCGGCAGATGTCTTTACTCTTGAAGTGAAACCCAGGGTCGAGTGGTTGCTAGGGCTGTTGGAACAAAGTACCACAGACTGGGTAGCTTCAGCAAAGACCCTCCTGCTTCAAGGTGAACCTGAGGTCAAGGTGTTCTGGGGTCCATTTGAGGCCGTGGGCCTCTGTCCTCGCCCCTTGACTCTGGAGGTTCCTGGAAGTCTCTGCTGGTCCTTGGATTGAGGATACTTTGTCCCAGTCTTTGCATTGTCTTGACAAGCTTTCTTATGTGTGTATGTCTCAAATACCCCTAGTTATGAGAAAACCAGTCACATTGCTCAAGTCACACCCCCTTCTGTACAACCTTTACACATGATAACCACTCCAAATACAATCATGGTCTGAGATACTGGGTTTAGACATCAGTATATGAATTTCGAGGTGACAAACCCACAGCATGATCCAGTCTTAATCTTACTTCGCATATAAAATAGCGCATTGAGCGGGGTGAATTGTATGAAGTTAGATTACATTTTATTGATAATAGTTGTTCAGATGTTATGAGAAAAAGGTGAGCAAACATTTTCCTTTCCACATTCCTTGTTCATTGTATACCCCTTGTTACCGTATGCTTGAACTGTCCTGGTGTGGGAGGTCCTTCTTTTATTGATTAATGAATAAAGAAACTGCTTTGGGCCTATAAGCAGAGCTATAGGGGAACAGTTAGGGAGGGAAAACTAAGCCGAATGCTGGGAGAAAGGAGGGCGGAGTCAGAGAGAAGCCATGTAACCCAGCTGGAGCCAGACAGAACTTTAGCTGGTAAGCCGTAGTCACATGGCGACACACAGATTACTAGAAGTGGGTTAGATTAAGATATAAGTGTTAGCCAATAAGAAGCTGGAGCTGATGAGCCAAGCAGTGTTTTAAATAATTTTCTGTGTGGTTATTTTGGTTCTGGGTGGCCGGGATGAACAAGCGGCCCCCTCCCTACTACACTGTCCTAACAGAACGAACAGACGGGCCTAAACAAGGGAAGTGGATTCTCTCAGTTCTGGAAGTACAAGGCCAAGGTTTGGAGACAGTTCGGCATCAGGACACTGGCTTGCAGGGACAGCCTTTTCACTGTGTCCCCATGGTCTGTCCTTAGTATGCACACAGAGAAAGAGCAAACTGCTGTCTCTTAGGAGGACACCAGACCTGCTGGATCAGAGTGCTGCCCTGGTGACCTCATTTCTCTTGTGACCTCATTTATCCCTAATTACTTCCTTAGAGGCCTTCTCTCCAAATACAGCTGTCATGGGGCCAGCGTCCCAACATAGCAGTTGAAGGCATGTAAACATTCAGACAATCACAGATGCAGTTTTGTTCAGTTGGCTCTCGCTCTGACCAACTTCACTGGTGCTCTCAGACTGCAGAATAGTCGACTTGATCTCGCATTCCTGCTTGAATCCAGCTGAAACCTCAGGTGGACCTCTCAGCACCTGGAGATTTGTCTCCAAACATTCCAGGATGCCCTTTAGGCAATGCCCAGGAATTACTCAAGATAGTGAAGAGTAAGCTTGGATCTATGACCATACCACCCTGAATGTGCCTGATCTCATCTGATCCCAGAAGCTAAGCAGGGTCGGGCCTGGTTAGTACTTGGATGGGAGAAGAGTAAGCTTGGAAGTAAACAACTTTGCCAGTGCACACAAGGAAAACAGCAGCCTCACTGCAGTGCTATTCGGAGATGCACCAGGCACAAAGAGAAACTAAGCGGCTCAGTTACTGTTGCATGGCACTGAGTTGTTGGTCCAGAATCCCAGGGACCAACAAATAGCAAGGTGCAGAAGGCTGCAGTCTGCCTGTGCAGTCTCAGAGCATGCAAGACAAAGACCTAGCACATGAACACGCAGTGTTCACACTGGGCCATTTAGGAGCCCTGAGGGTGGGCAGCCCCTGACAGCTCTGGAGCTGCAGAGAAGCATACAGAGCACAGCCAAAAAGTAGAGTATGGGGGAGGAGCCCCATCCATAAATCCAGATTTCAACCAACTGAAAACATAAAAGTTGTACTTTGTTTTTGAGACAGGGCTGGCCTAGTACTCACTAAATAGACCCGGCTGCTCAGACTCAGAGATCTGCCAGCCTCTGTTGCCTGGGATTAAAGGCAACCCCTGCAAGCCATTAGTTTTAAATTAAAACCAAAAGTGGGGTAAGGAAAATAAGATGGATGAACATGCAGAGGCTCGCAGAAGGCCGGAGAGAACTCATTTCGGGAATATTGGATATATAATCTTAATCTACGGGGGTTTTGTTTGTTCATTTTGACAGGTATCTGCTATGGAGCCAAGGGTAGCCTCAAACTCACGATCTTCCTGCCTCGGTTTCCCTATTGCAGGGATTTCAGGCTTGGGCAATAGCTTTCATGACTAATGACTTTCTTCAACTATCCACTGAGAAGGCACGAGCGAGGAGCAGGAGGGAGCTAGAATAGGTGTTTAAAAGCAGATACATGTGGGGCTGGAGAGATGATTCAGTGGGTTAAGAGCACTAACTACTCTTCCTGAGGACCTGGATGAGACTCCCAAGCGTGAAGATCGCAGCTAGCAACCATGTTTAACTGGAGTTCCATGGCCTCCAACACCCTCTATCAGACACTGCAGACACGCAAGCAAAACATCCATACTTAAAATAAAAAAAATAAATCTCAAGAAAGTTAAAGAAAATGTTACCAGGTTCATTTGCTTAGAAGATATTGATTAAAAAGAAAATAAAAATAATAAAAGCAGCTGTAGGAAAGAACCAAAAGTTGGGTGAGCAGGGAGGGGGAGGGAGGAAGTGTGAGGAGTAAGGGGAAGGGAAAGAATATGATAAAATATGTTGTAAGAAAAAGAAAAAAATTAATAAAAATTAAAACAGCTAAAAGCAGTTACATCAGACAACTGATTTTTTTTTAAAAATCAATGTAGAATTTTTATTTGGAAAATATGTTAATATAGTGTATGCTTTACTTCCATGATTTACAAATATGCATTGAAAAACATTTAGTCCTTATTTACAAGTCTCATCTTTGGTATTAGTCACTCTCTGAAGTATGTTATTATTTTATTGCTCTTGTTTTTTATTTGTTTTTTAATGGGTTAGCATATAGCCCAGTGGTAGCCACTTGTCTACTACATTTTAGGTCCTGGGTTTGATTTCAAGTCTCTAAAAAACAAAATTCATACTGCACAGATTACTCAAACAGTATAGGTGTCATTTTCACAATTTCACATGGCTCGTTTAACATCTTCAGGTCTGAAAGAGAATTTAAAGAGAAAAGCTTATTTACATGGCTTATATACAGACTAATTAATGTTCAGTTAAATAAGTCCTAGAGTAGTTTTCAATAAAATTCCATAATTACTAGCAATCGTTAAACATTTGTATATAGGCAAAATTCAGTATAGAGAAATACTTCAATGATAGAAATCCCTTTTCTTCAGATAAGGGCACTCTGTAGGCACTGGGGCAGCAGTATGGAGCCTGTCACTGTGACTAACCACCCCCAACTCACTGTCCTCTGGTGGGTAGGGGACAGAAACTTTCTAGACAAAATTCTGCACTTACTGCATGCCAGGAGAGATTGTACAATTTAGAAGCACAGATTAAAAAGTTTTTCGTATGGGTATGGGACTGTTTCCACAGTGGGAGAACCATGTAGGGTTTGCAGGGTTTCTGGAGCCTCGTGTGACAACCCCAGCCTTGAGCAAGCACAAGTTGGCGTAAGTCTTCTAATTACTCAGGCCTTTGTTCTGAAAGGCTTTCACGGCTTTTGCCTTTGGTGACTGTGTGCATTAAGGAATGCAACATTTTGACAATTACTCAAACACTCAATTTGACATCTAAACCTATATCTAGTTAGTATTTTAATCCACTGGATTCAGAGCCAGAGCTTGAGGAGCTCACCCTGCAGGTGACAGCCAGAGCAGCATTCAAGCCATTGTATCAGCTGAGGCCTGTCTGCTCCTGCCACCACTCTACTGCCCTGGTCTCTTGTAGACCAGGCTGGTCTCGAACTCACAAAGATCCGCCTGCCTCTGCTGGGATTAAAGGCCTGAGCCGCCACCACCACCTGGCTACTGCCCTGGACACAAAAGATGGGAATTTGCTGGAGGGAGGGTGGAGGATTTGGAGTCCACAGTGCCTAGAGGCACCTGGATGAACCGGGCGTGTCTGAATGGACGTTCATAGGTAAAGAAAGCTGCATGTTTTGCCTCCAGTCAGAAATTTTACTTTTACTTTGTCGTGTTGAGTTTGGGGGATGGGATCTCCCCATGCGCGACCCTCCAGTGTTTTGAAACCACTGATTGGGATAGCCATGCATCACTGATAGGTGACCGAGCTCTGCTTTAGCTGGGTAAGCAGGGGTGATTTACCATTAACTGATTGTGAGACAGAGGTAAACAGGGGTATCTAAACTGTTCAATGACCATGTGGGGGGGAGGGGTGGATAAGTGAGAAGAAAGTAGAATGTCGTATGTGTCAACAATGCCATACTGAGTTGCATTTCCAGAAGTCCTGAGTTCAATTGCCAGCAACCAGCGCTCTTAACCTCTGAGCCATCTCTCCAGCCTGCATCTTTCTTCTTTAACTGATCAAACAAATGTATTATCTCAGACAGGAACTGACTATAAATCCCAGCCTTTCATTCATTATAATTGTGTTGTGGCTAAAAACTGGCTTGAGGTGCTGGAGAGATGGCTCAGAGGTTAAGAGCATTGCCTGCTCTTCCAAAGGTCCTGAGTTCCCAGCAACCACATGGTGGCTCACAACCATCTGTAATGAGGTCTGGTGCCCTCTTCTGGCCTGTAGGCATACACACAGACAGAATATTGTGTACATACTAAATAAATAATTTTTTTTTAAAAAAAAAACTGATTTGAGGAATAAGGATGAAAAATACTCTTATAAAATCTAATTTTTAAATGAGAATTTTTACTTGGAATATTTAACTTTTAAGGAATGACGATCACGGTTTAGTGGTAAAAGAGCACATGGATGCACCTCTCCTTAGCACTGAAGACTTTTCATGTAACCAGGGACAGACAGTCCACATAGCGGTGTCTTAACCATGGCCTTACCGTCTGTTCTTTGACTGAATTCTCGATTCCAGCTTGAGCCATTAGGTCGTCAACATTTTTCTGTAGGTCCTTGATGCGATTTCCCATTTCTTCCAGTACAATGTCAAGGAGAATGGTACATGTGGGTCCCATTAGCCCGACTCACGGGTACACATGTGTGCACGTGTACAAATGAAAGCTCCTGCTTCATTCAACCTGCACCTGCTCGGCACATGGCCCTGGACATACGGCAGAGCGGTGTGCGCAGTGAGGAAGTCAGGCGGTCCAAAGTCCGTGTAATTACCCCTCCCTTGGCTTTTCTTAGCACACTGTCTTTAACTGTGGACTAGATTTTGTGTCTTCAGCTGGGGACTAAGTTTTGAAAACAGTGCCCCCAGCTTGGACATAGGCTTGAAGACTTGAGTTTGGCGAGCTATAGCCGAACTCTGAGTCACTGAGTGTAACTATGATGGACATTAGCTCATTTTTAAACCAACTTCTTGGTAGCTTATTTTTTAAAAACTAGTGAAGAGGGGGGAAGGGAAGGGAGCAGAGAAAAATGTAGAGCTCAATAAAAACCAATCAGAAAAGGTATTTAGTGCATATATGTGAGTTGGGTAAGTGTGTGTGTGTGTGTATGCGTGTGTGCACGTGTACAAATGACACAGGTTTGAAGGTCAGGGGACAACTCTCTGCAACAGTTCTCTCTTTTCAGGAGGGAGCCTGTGGATGGAACTACGGCATGGTGCAAGCACTCCACAGACTGACTCATTTCAATGGCCCACTTCACTTGATTTATTATTTCAGATTTATTTATTTTATGTGTGTAAGTGTTTTGCCTGAATGTATGTATGTTCACCACAGACTGGCCTGGTGCTTGAGGAGATCAGAAAGGGGTGTGGGATCCTCTGAAACTGGAGGTACAGATGGTTGTGAGCCACTCTGTGGGTGCTGGGAACCAAACCTGGGCCCTCTGTAAGAGCAGCACATGCCCTAACAGCTGAGCCGTCTCTCCAGTCCCTTAATATGATTATTTATTTATTTATTTATTTATTTATTTATTTATTTATTATGTATACAATATTCTGTCTGTGTGTATGCCTGCAGGTCAGAAGAGGGCACCAGACCCCATTACAGATAGTTGTGAGCCACCATGTGGTTGCTGGGAATTGAACTCAGGACCTTTGGAAGAGCAGGCAGTGCTCTTAACCACTGAGCCATCTCTCCAGCCCCTGCTTAATATGATTTTTAAAGTGAATTTAATCATGTAAAAAAATCATGTCTAAAAACCCCTTTGGGGGAAAAAAAACCCTTCGATTAGGCAAGTCTTAGGGCAGATGCTAACCTATATTTACACACTATATTTTATTTTTTGGTTTTTCGAGACAGGGTTTCTCTGTGGCTTTGGAGCCTGTCCTGGAACTAGCTCTGTAGACTAGGCTGGTCTCGAACTCACAGAGATCCGCCTGCCTCTGCCTCCCAAGTGCTGGGATTAAAGGCGTGCGCCACCACCATCCGGCACTATATTTTATTTTTAAATTTTATAAAATAACTATATCCTAGTGAACTCACAAGTAAAGCCATCGCAGAACCAGTTTAAGCAAGTCACTGAAATGCTTGCCCAGTTCTAGCTTGCCATTCTAAACATGAAGAGGCCCACTGACACGTGGGGCCAGTTCTTCTGAGACAAACACCGACTTGCTTGTTCCAGTCAAATCAAAGGTAGGCCCTAGAAACGGCCTTCCACGCCGGAGACCATCAACACTGCTCTCTCAGGTTCCCAATTGCTGCGGAGGCTGTGCTGCCAGCCGGACAGGCTCAGTTCTCTCTCAGCTTTCTCCACTGGCCGTTCAATGCCTTGCATTGCCAGTCAGTCGGAGGCCAAGCATAGAGGCACAAACGCAAACACTAGGACATCACGTGGAAGCAGTCACACGCTGCTATCAGAGAACAAGACACTACTCCGCTGCAATCTACCAACCGACGGCTTGCTAGTGTTTGGTAAGACCAGAAAAGGATATTTCTGAGGTTTAATGTTGTGGTCAGAGCTCGGAAGTGTTCTTCAAGCTCCTGAAGTAGATTTTCTGCCTGAAAATAAACCTTAGGTAACTGAATGAGATATTTATATTAGTGTAGGACATCATAAATATCATGGACTACCTAAACATACATGCCCATTGATTTTGTTTTGTTGTTTTTTTGTTGTGGTGGTTGTTGTTTGAGACAGGGCCTCCCTATTCATCCCAGCTGCGCTGGAACTCATTGTATGGACCCAGATGGCTTCCAACGTTCATTAATCTCCTTCTGCCTCACAGTCTTGGGAAAATAAGTCATTCCCCATGATGCAGGGCACTTGTTTTGTTTTTTTGAGGCAGGGTCTGCTTATGTATCCCAGACTGACCAGGAACTCAGATGCTCCTGCTTCGGCTCTCCAACACGGGGATTACAGGCCTGTGCCAGCGTGAGCACTATGATGGACAAGATCTAAACAAGACAGAGGGGCTGTAACTCGTCTCCCTGGAGATGTGAGCACAGGAAATAGTTCAGGGCGAATCAAAGGCCAGTGGGCCCTTTGTTTGAGCTTTGGCTGTTTAATAGTGTACGGCGCAACGCCTACAGAAATGCCACTGTGGTGACTGCCAGGCTTTCAGGTTGTTTGATGCTTTATAGTCCACACATCCTGTATGTGTCTACCTTGTGTGATCTTGTCCCAACAACTTTGGTGCCTGTCCTACGGATGGAAGCACGGGTCCTGGAATCTGGACCCTGCGCTCTTCTGTGTAGGTCCCCTGTGGCAGGTAGCCTTCCGAAAGAATGTAAATTAAGTGGGCTCTAGTGGACTCTCTTAAATGGGGACAAACACAAGGACCTGCCATGGTCCTCATGGTTATGCTGGCAGGGGTTATCAGAAACATCACAGTAGGAACTGCTTTGGCAGGGGCCAGAGGAGACGCCAGGAGAAGGAATGGGGCGGGGCTTCGGCTTGAGGCGGAGCCTTTAGGAGGGAAAGGAGGGGTGGGCGAGATCTGGGACAAGGCTGTGGGACCTAGAAAGGGGAAAGCACTCTCAGAGTGCTAGGGACTAGGACAGAATTGAAGTGGGGGAGGGGAGAGGCTGAGCAAGGTATGGGACAAGGATCCGGGCTCTGTAGAAACAAGTTTCATCCCCAGCAGCTCAGCGTCCGCCACCTACCTCTTTGGCTCACGACTTCGGTTCCCCAACACTCTTATGGCTGTGACCTCGATCCCTTCCAGTACCCTAAAGCCGTTGACCTCGGTCCACGGAGCCCTAGGGCACGCGTCACTCACCGCGTTCTGCAGCACGTCCCCGCAAGGAACTTCCGGCGCCCGGGCGTCCATCTGCACAGGCGTAGCAGTCTGGGGTCCTGGGTTTTGGGTGAACCCAGCAGGTGTCGAGCTTTGGGTAGAGCCCTGGCAACCCTGGAGAGAGCGCAGGGGCAGGTGCAGACCGGACCGGCAGCCGGCCAATCCGGCTTTGCTGCGTGTTTTCATCCTTCAGAGAAGGTGACCTGGGAGGAACTCTGTAGGTACTTAGTTATTCTTGTTACTGTGACACGGTAAACACGGCAAGATAGTGAGCCTCCTAGCCACTTCTGAATGCACAACCACCCTGCCTCTCCATCTCCAGAGCTTCTGGTCTCCCACTGATATTCAGTGCCCATCAAAAGCAAGGGACCCTCCCCTATTTATCCCACACCTTGCTAGCTTTTGTCTAGGCACACACTTTCCTATGATGCGCCAGCTCTTACTGGGGACGATGGCACACCACACTGAACAACTGAATCTGTTACTGCAAATCTGATGTTTCTGAAGGGCTAAAGATGTAAGCTTCAGAGCTGAGTATCTTCACAGATGCTCAAGTCTGATTTCACGTGTGTCTGGAAACATGATCTCACGACTCTTTCTTTTCTTTTTCTTTTTCTTTCTTTTTTTTTTCTTTTGGTTTTTCGAGACAGGGTTTCTCTGTGGCTCTGGAACCTATTCTGGAACTAGCTCTTGTAGACCAGAACTCACAGAGATCTGCCTGCCTCTGCCTCCTGAGTGCTGGGATTAAAGGCGTGGGCCACCACTACCTCTCTTCCCTTTTCTTTTTAAATTTGAGTTGTGGTCACATTGTGGATGATTCCCAGGGCCACCCTGTTACCTGTTTTGTTTATCTGCTATCACTCCTTGGGCTGAAGGTCGGAAGGGTGAGCAGACTGTGTCTATTCAGGCCACCTCAGTACTCTAGACCTAGCGCAAAGATAACACATGGATGCCAGCGCACTGCGAATGTCTATACAGATGGGGCGGCAGTGCGGTGTGGCTGAAGAGATGGCTTGTTGGTTAAGGGCACCTGCTGCTTTTGCGCAGGACTAGGATTTGGTTCCCAGAACACCATGTGACTGCTCAACTGTCTGTAACTCCAGTTCCAGGAGATCTCATGTCCTCTCCTGGCCTCCATAGGCACGGCACATACATGGTGTGCTTACAAACATGAAGAGAAAACATCGACGCGTAAAATAATTTAAAAAACTTAAAAACAGAACATGCTTACAGGCAGAGGCACCCAATGCCATTAATCAGCAGCAGCCGCAATGAGCCCCTGCTTCACATCCACGGGGATGGCAGGAGGAACGCAGAATCGTGCAGCCCCTTCGGAAAATATAGGTAAACAGGGTTCGCCACATTCCACTCCTAGGTGTGTACAGGAAACAGCCACGTAACCCACACAGAAACACACAACCTTTAATAGCAGCACCCACTCATCACAAGGGTCAAGGAGGAGACAGCCTGACGGCAAACAGATGAGGTATGTGTGCCTATGAATCCACTCAACAACAGGCATGTACGACGGTACCTATGACACGAACAAACTTCACACACAGCAAAGGAAGAAAGGCCGCCTGTAGCACGAATAATAAAAACCCAGAGACAGAAATTGGGGGTGGACCTGAAAACCAGAAAAGCAAGGTAGTCAAGCCACTAGAGAAGTCTTACCTCTACCAAGGCTGAGTGACCATAAACTAAGTGAACTGCCTCTCTCTCCTCTCATTTTATATTCCCTCTAGTGCTGGGATTAAGGGCGAGTTGGAATTAAAGGCGTAGGCCATCACCACTTGGATTTGTTTCTGTATTGATTTTGTGTAGCCCAGGGTGGTCTTGAACCAGAGATCCATCTGACTCTGTCTCCCAAATACTGGGATTAAAGGTGTGGTCACCACTGCCTGACCTCTACTGGCTTTAGCTTTGCCTCTGGTCTTCAGGAAAGATTTATTTATCAAAGCACAAATAATATACAACTACAGCCACCTATTAAATGACCCCGTTATAAGAAACATCAGTAACTGAGAATGTCACAGGGACAGTGCCTCAGTGGTTGCTATAGTGTGAGGAGGGAGAGGGGGAAGAGGGGAGAGAGGAAGCTGCTTCATAGCAAAGGGTTCCTTCTTGAGGAACCAATTTCCTGACATTGGACTCCCGTAATGGCTGCACAATTTGTGTATGTACTAAAAACCATGGGATTACTTATTTGAGTGAATTGCATAGTACATGAATTGTATACCACTGGATGAGTTCAAATAATAAATTTTAAAAGTATGGATGGTCTGCCTTTTGGATCTGTGGTAGTTTAAATAAAAATGGCCCCCATAGGCTCATGTATTTGAATGCATACTCCATCAAAGAGTGGAACTTTTTAAAAGGACTAGGAGATATGGCCTTGTTGGAGGAAGTGTGTCACTGGAAGGTGGGATTTGAGGTTTTAAAAACCTATGTCAGGCCCAGTATCCCCACCCCCAATCTCCCTTTGCGGACTCATATATGTTCAAGCCATGTCCACTGAGACAGACCATTTTCTGTTGCCTTTGGGTCAAGATGTAAGAGCTCTCAGCTCCTTCTCCAGCACCGTGTCCGCCTGCATGCTGCCTTGCTTCCTGCCATGACGATAATGGAGTAAACCTCTGAACTGTAAGTCAGCCTCAATTAAGTTTTTCCTTTATAAGAGAGGCCACAGTTATGGTTTCTCTTTACAGCAATAGAAACCCTAACAAAGACAAGTAGGGAGGGGTGTGAGAGCTGGCCCTGCATGGCCCCCAGTAAGTCTATGCAGCCTGAGTTAGCCTGTGCAGCAGCAGCAGAAGCAGCAGCAACTGACGTCTCTTTGCAGACAGCTATAAGGAAAGCTGGGAACCTAGAGTCTAATTCAGGGTATTCTATCGGAAGTACACTATAGATTCAAAGCCCGGGACTCATTAGAGCCACTTTAAGGAGCAAAAGAAAATCTTTCGGGAGAGCAAGACCAAGGCTTTGGCAAGGTTGGCTTCACCTTGCTGGCCTGGCTTCAGTCTATGACAGCCCAGCTCAGAGGGTCTTCCAGTTTTTAGGACATGGGTCTGTTTCTCAATGGTGTCCTCACTCCCTTGGGCCTTTTCAGTCCACAGAATCACGGTGTTTCCGACATCCCTTGCCAGCATAGCCAGCTCAGGCAGGGCATCAGAGAACTGGTAGACACCCTGGAGCCAGATTCAGTTCAGTCTAAGCAGTAAGAGCCTCGGTGTGGCTCTGTCTAATGGATGCACACATCCTCCACCTATTTTTCTTTTCACATTGCAGACAGCGTAAGCATAGCAAGCAGCAAGCAGAGCCTGGACCACAGAAGCCTAGCACCAGACAGGCAGACTAGCAGAGGCTATCCTCACTAGCGAGGACTCTCAGGAGGCTCCCATGTTTGGCCAACCCTCACTGGATACTTCAGCTGTGTCCAGACTAGCCAGAGCAGAGCCAAGTGGCTTCTAGATAAAGCATAGTCCTGTAGGCTATGAAGGCAAAGACCTCCCCGGGCCCCCAGACCCTACCAGAGACTCAGGAGGTCAGGTAGACAACAAGCCTTGGAGGAGGGGGGATGGGAGCATCCATGATCCCTCTCTCATCTGAAAGTGGTGCACACAGTAGCCACGCAGAGCCCTGCTTATGAACACACAGAGGAGTCTCCTTGTACTGGGCCGGGTCAGAAGCTGGAACAATGTGGCGGGACTTACAGGCAGGAGAGGAGATATACCAGCCTGTTCCTCACCCTGCGTCTCACGTTCTGCCCCTCTCCACAGCTCCGTCTGCTTCTCCCACGTCTCCACCTCAAGCTTGATCATTACAGTGGCACCCACCTGGCATGGCTCTGGGCTGGGGTTCTGGTCATCCTTCCACCCAGTCCCACCTGTCATTCCGCATAAATCTTGCTTTCCCACATGCTTGGTTCAGGACAAATGCAACTAGAAAACTGTACCAATGGAGAAGGGAGGACTCACAAGGGCGAATGAGAGGCACTCAGGACTAACCTGCTCTGTGAGACAGAGCTGAGGACACTCCGTAAGCCGGCACATCTATCTAGAGAGTCTCACATTCTACTTCTGGATAGTCACCTACCCAGTAACAACAAAAAGGAGTAAATGGCTTCTGTCTCTAGCCCATCAACACTGTGCCCTCACCGAGACTCCCCTCTGCTACCCTGCTATTGCCCCAAGCCAGGGAGATGCCGCGGTTCTCAAGAAAATAGCCCAAGACTGTAGTTCCTATTTGCGCTGTCAAAGATGCAGACCACTGAGCAGAAGAATGACGTGGATCTAATTCTAAATTAGAAAACACATTTCAGGGCTGGAGAGATGGCTCAGTGGTTAAGAGCATTGCCTGCTCTTCCAGAGGTCCTGAGTTCAATTCCCGGCAACCACATGGTGGCTCACAACCATCTGTAGTGAGGTCTGGTGCCCTTTTCTGGCCTGCAGACATACACACAGACAGAATATTGTATGCATAATAAATAAATAAATACTTAAAAAAAATAGAAAACACATTTCATCTGGGTAGGTGAGTGCTTCGCAGTACAACCAAGGCCGGGAGGAAGCTGGGGAAGGGGCGGCTGCTGGCCAGCACAGCTGCTGTCCTGCCCTCCGGACCTCAGCAATGAAAGGCTCTGGTCCTAGGGTTTCGTCATATGCTAGCAGCTGCCTATGGGCAGTTGGAAGTTCATTCGCGCCCATGCATAGTAACCCTGTTGCTGGCATGTTCAAGGGACTCTCATGCAACCTTAAAATGTTTTTTGTTAACTCTTTAAGAATTTTATTCAATATAATCTGATCACTTCGTTTTCCTCCCTAACTCCTACCAGATCCTCTCCCACTTCCCCACCCACCCAATTTCAGGTTTTTTTTTTTCTCTCTCTCTCTCTTCTCTCACATGAAAAGAAAGAAGGGAAAGAGGGAAGGAAGGAGGGAGGAAAGAAGGAACTTGTGGAGTCCAGTTCACGGGAATGTAGTCAGTATACCAGCGACACTCCACCGACAGAAACTGATTTTTCCTCACCCAGCAGCTGCCTAATGGCAAGAACTCCTTGGCAAGGGGAGGGCCATTGTGTCCACTTCCCCTTCTATTCTGGGGTTTGTCTGGCTTGGGTTTATGAAGGTTTTATGTGTGCTATCATGGTATCTGAGTTCGGATGTGCGTCTCACCTCCAGGGTCTGGAGAATATGGTTTCCTTGAAGTCACTCACAATATCTAGTTCTTACCATCTTTCCAGCCCCTCTTCCACACACATCCCCGAGCCTGGAGAAGAGGGGTGTGATGTAGACAGCACATTTGGGGCCGAACATTCCAGATTCTCTTATTCTCTGCATGTTGACTAGCTGTCGAGGTTCTGTGTTAATTGGCATCTCCTGCAAGAAGTTTCTCTAATGAGTATTGAGGAATGTGTTGACTTGTGGTTATAGCAACATGTCATTAGGAGTCATGTTATACTGCGTTCTCTTAGCAGAATGTTCTGTGCTGAAAGTTCTCAACATTCCTAATGCTGTGACCCTTTACTACAGCTCCTCATGTTGG